GGTTTCCTTTCTTTTCTTGTCCTGTAACTTCCATGTAACCCAACTTTTTCCATGGAGACAGGACAAACTGGCCTTAAAAGCAAAGCAGTCTGGGCTCATAGCAGACATAACCAGGGGCAAATCTCACTGCTAACACTGCCAGCAGTGTGACTTGGGTGACTTACTCTGTCCTTGAACCTCAGTTTCCTCTTCTGTAAAATGGAAGGAATAAGACCCAGTTTGATGAAATTGAAACGACATAGAAAATGTAAGGAGCCCAGAGGGGGACCCAGAGTAAACATTGAAAATACTAGTTTCTCTCTCTCTCCCTCTTGTAGACACAGAGAACAGAAGAGGCATAGTCTGTAAGAGCACAGCACAGCAGCCCCTGTCTACATCAAGGCCTCCCCAAGGCAGTGACATCTGTCAAAACCTGGGTTCCTATTGGGTGTGGAGGTCGCAGGCTGGGTTTCAGCCAGGCGTTGGTCTCTTTTTCTTTGCTTCTGTTTAGCAGCTTCCTGGTGTCGGGGAGGCAGGAAGACTCCGAAACCACCGGAGAGAGTATAGAGGAAGAGGCCTGGGCCCCGCTGAGGAGCCTGAGCCGATCGGAGCTTAAAACCCAAGGCCAGGAGCACCGGGCTCTTCGCCCAGCCTGCAGGCCCAGGGCCCAGAACCGGAGGAAGGATCGGCATGGAACAAAGAAAGCTGTAGTAATGTGTTTTGTCCACTGGGAGGAGTATTTTAGCCAGGGAAGGGATCGGCGAGGCAGTCACCCAGGGCGTCCCGGCTCAGGCCAGCTCTGGCCTGTGCAGAGTGGGCGGGCGCCTCAAAACCCTCCTGGAGGACACTGCTCCCTGGAGCCATCACCTCCCCTGCGTGCACCCAGGCCAGCCCAGCTCAGAGAAAAGGTCGGAGCCAGAAAAGGCCGTAGAGGATCAGCAGGGTGACTCTCTTTCAGAGTCGGAAACCGGAGAGCTGAGGGGACAGCAGAGTTGGTGTGGGTCGCGCATGGGTGGTGTCCAGACTTCCTGTCTTCCACCCGGCCCCCTTAGAGCCTCGGAAAGACCTCTGGAGACCTGTGCATGTAGGTGTGACCTGCAAGTGGAGATGCGAACACGTGGGTTTTATTAAAAAACCAAATGGTCTGAAGGGGAAAACTCATGTGGACGTAGAGTCTTGTCTAGTTAGAGTTGGTGAGATGCGGGGGTACACAGAGCCAGGGACCCCTGCTTCTCTCCAGGGCTCCATTTCCTCGGCAGCCTACACCTGCACCCCTCCTCTCCTTCAGCTTCCTGCTCCCTGCTCCCTCCTCCAAGATGCTTTCCTGGGCCACTTGGCCAACCTACCCGACCTCTCCTTTGCTCCCTTTTCCTGGTTTTTCCAGCACTTGTGTGCCTCTGCTTGGTGTCGTGTCACAGGCAGGGCACACGTGCTTTGCTTTTTGATTACTGTTTGCTTCTCCCCTAGGATGGAAACTCTTGGGTTCAGGTTTACAAGTAGCTATCCCCAGTGTCCACAACAGTGTCGTGTACATAGGAAATACTCCATAAAATTTTGTTTAATTGATGAGTAAATGAAAGTCCCTGGGTTTTAAATTCTGATTTGCCTGCAAAATGGATTATGGTGAAGATTAAATTAAATAATATATGCAAAGTAATCCTGCCACCTGTTAAGAATAAACGCATGCAAGTGGCAAGGTTAGATGAATGGGAATTGTTAGGAAAATAAGGGGCCTTTGTCACATATTGTGATAGCTATTATCTTTTGCTTGTATTGATTTGTTTATTTTGGTTAACTCTGTCTTGTTCAAAAACAAAACAATAAACATGAAGTCCCCATTAATAGTCACACGAAAATACACACCTTCGTACAGGACCACCTAAACCAGGTGACAACTACCTGGAATGAAACAGCTGGTTTGCAGAATGTGAGGAATGAATATCTGATTTACAAAAATAAAATCAGGGAGCAATAGGGTAAAGGAGAACAAATACAGGAAATTAAAAGGCAGGCAGAAAATAAGGCCGGTACATAAATCGTAAACTAGGGCAACCTACCTCTTCCTTGGAGAGGCACACAAATTTAAACTGTCTTACCTACAATGGTATGGACAGGGGAACCTGGCCACCATGGCAAATGTCAGTGGCTGTGTGTCCCAGGGCTGGGTTTTGTGTTCTAAACAGAGTTCATGATCTGGGCCCAGAACTTTCCACAATGGGGATTTGGGTTGAGAGGCAGACTTGAAAGTTAAACTAAACTATTTTAAATTCACCCTCTGCCTTGTGGTCTTGTTAGGTGTGAATCAGTAGGAAATTCAAAGACAATGATTTTAAGCATCTCTTAGTTATTCAGTTATAGGAACAAAGAATACATACAGTGGACCTTTGAGTTAGGACTAGCCTCACATACAAAAAACTTGGGTTATGACCAGAAGTTTAGTTTTTTTGTTTGTTTGTTTGTTTGTTTTTGGTACAGGGGATTGAACTCGGGTCCTTGCACTTGCAAGGCAGACCACCGAACCACTGATCTAAATCCCGGGCCCCAGAAGTTTAGTTTTAACATATGACCAAAGTCTTGAATTACAACTTGAATGTTGGTCCTTCCTAGGTGGGGAAATCCTGGACCAATGTGGACATTGAGATATGCCTGGAAGAAAATGTGGCCTAAAATTATACAGGAGATGATAGAGAACACTTTAATAGCAATACATAAATAAATAAAAACCCTATGAAATGTCACAATGTAAAATAACTTTTGACGGTTTGCTTTACTTTAGAATCAACAGGCACCCAGGTATCTAGTCTCATTATAAAGTTTTGTAAATGATAAAAAACATTGTGAACTTTGCTGGCCAGACATACCCCCTTCCCCCAGGCTAGAATAGATAACTAAATGAATTTTAAAGGTAACCTCCCCTGCCAAAGACCTGCTACATTGCAGTTGAGATTCAACCGCTTCTCCACCATGTTTTGAACATCAGCAAAGGGAACTGTGAAAATGAAATGTAGCCACCTGAACGAGATGAAGGCTGTAAAACCCTATAAAAGCAGAAGTTGTAGTCCAGTACTGGGTCGATCAGGGCAGTGCCATTAGGTGTGATTGGTCCCCATCGATGAAGTAAACTTTTGTTATTTTACTTTCATTCTGCTGCCTGTGTCACTTGCCAATTCCTTTTGTAACAGAGACTTTGAGGGCTGTGTAGAGGAGCCTGAGCCTTCCACTGAGCCCTTGGCTGATGACACTGTCACCACAGCAGAGCCCACAGGCCTGCAGGTAGATGGTGAAGTTGAGGAACTGTGGAGGAACTCAGAGGAGCTGTCCACTCCTGTTAACGGCACCAGTGACTGATTTTCTAACCACAGGTTATCAAAAACTCAGCCAGAATATAAAGAAGACAAATTCCTCTGCAGAGCAGGAGAGATGACTGGACTCTTATTTGACCAGAGTAGATTATCAAGGGACCACATAGGAAACAGGGTATCTACAGGAGAATTGCCTGAGTGGCAGCAAACAACCAAGAGCCTCAGGCTTTAAGGGGAGCTAAGTCCTCTAACAACTGTTAGGAGCTGAGTATCTCAGGCCAACTGCTGAGTCTCTGAACCTCGGTTAGCCCATCTGAGCAATGAGTACAAATCACTCCTGCCCCAGCTGTCCAGGTTAAAGAACAGAGTGGACAGAAAAGTTTTGACAAACAATTCCTATTAGAAACTGGCCAGGCGTGGTGGCACACTCCTGTAATCCCAGCACTCAGGAGGGTGAGGCAGGAGGATCACTGCAAGTTCGAGACCTGCTGGGCTACATAGTGAGTTCCAGGTCAGTCTCATCTGTGTAGTGAGACCCTGTCTCAAAAAACCAAAAAGAAAGAAATGAAGGAAGGAAGGAAGGAAGGAAGGAAGGAAGGAAGGAAGGAAGGAGGGAGGGAAGGAAGGAAGGGAAGGAAGAAAATGACAAGGAATTATAGTATAGCAGTTCCAGTTAGAGTGAAGTATAATAGCTCAAGTTTTGAATCCCTCCTTTGTGCCATGCTGTGGCAGCTGTGTTTTCCAAACCTTTATCATCATCCCCATTCTACCCAGGGGAGCCGAGAATCTCAGAAGTGAGTAATCCTCCAAAATCCATCAGCCACGGACTTTGGCAGAGTGTGGATTTGAATTCTGATCTGTCCTGCTCTGTGAACCTCTCTACCAGCCCATCTCTCCTGAAGAAGAAGGGGGAAAATTGTACATTAAAAGTTAATCTAAAAAGGAAACAAGTGGCAGGGTTGATTGGAAATCTAAGAGGGCTTCCAAGAGAGACTTAAAATTTTGTTTTATTTAGTTTTACACTGAGAGTGGGATATTGCTCAGCTGTGGGCAGAGGTAGTAAGAAAGGAACTCAGACCCAGGTAGGCTGGAGCCCTGGAGCCCGCTGTGTGCAGGATGGCAAAGGGCATTCCATGTCTCTTGACAAGGCTATGTGGGTGCGGTACCACAACACGGCCAAAGCTGGGTTTTCAAGGAGAGCTGGGAAGGCAGTACAGGGTACCCCTGTCCCTTTGTTCTTGGGTTGCAATGACAGTAACAGCCAGAGAAGGAAAGGCTGCTATGTTTCCCTGGGGAATTTGGGAAAGCAGTAATGCCAGGGTGGCATTCTAAATGTCTTCACCTCTCTGTTCTCTTCTTAGAGCCACTGTCCCTTATTTCTCTCTCCTCTCATTTTTAACCCTTCCCTTTTGAGTTTCTTTCTCTATTTTGACGTTTCAGCCCTCCTTAGTCCACACAACATACCATCCCTTCTTTCTCCTCCTGCCTGCCACCTCCCCACTGCCTGGACACACTGTGTCAGCGAATCCCTTACCAGTGTCATGTCTAACTTTTTTATTCATTGCATGATTTATTTTTAGCCTGAAACAACTGCATCCTAAAAATGGATCTCCTAATGAGCAACAGGCTGGGCAGAGAGCTATGTAAGGTATCCGGGGCTGGGCCTCCAGCCTCCCAGCCTGGCTCTTAACTCTATGTGCAGGTCTGCATAAATCTCCATCGTGTCCTGAGCCCAAGATCACACAGTTTGCAGGACCTGAGGTGGTGAGGTCAAATCAGCCTCTCTCTCCTTAGTTGGCTCAACAAACCACCTAAGAGCTTTCTATCCTCTCGCCTGCACATGCTATTTTAAGGAATAAGCAGAAAACAAACCAACAAAAACAAACACACCAAAAACTTTTCCCAAATGAAGAGAACTCATCTGTTTGTTTTGGGGATCTATTTGCTCTCCTCTTGCAGGGCAGAAGAGGGGCTGAATTTCCCTACATATGATGGGAAAGACCGAGTGGTGAGTCTTTCAGACAAGAATTTCAAGCAGATCTTGAAGAAATATGACTTACTGTGTCTCTACTACCATGAGCCGGTGTCTTCAGACAAGGCCGCCCAAAAGCAGTTCCAGCTGAAGGAGATCGTGCTGGAGGTGAGTGAGCACTGGCCTGACACAGCGTGGGCCTGGGTGCCTCTGGCCAGGGGTCAGCATGCAGAACAAGGGCATGGGATGCACTCTGAGGTCTGCAGCACTTCGGCCCCACATACACTGAAGCTACTCTTGTGAAGCCAGGAGGCCAAGGGCCACACTCCCAAGGCAGAGGGGACTGAATGTTGGGCCCAGTGGTGGGTCTGATATAAAGTCTTTCCCATCACCCTTGGTTCTTTGAGAGCTCTTGGCCTCCCTGGTGTTTTCCCAAGAGAATGTTCAAACTGGTGTTAAAACTACTGGCTGAACCACAACTCAGTTATTAGTGGGTTTTGTTCAGTGTGCCGGTTCCCAACTCTTTGCTCCCCCAGCTGGTCTCCCCTTGATCCTGGAGAAATTTGTCTTTTTACCTTGCCTATGTTTCTGGGTCAGAAGAAGAGCATCCCTAAATGTGTGTGTGTGTGTGTGTGTGTGTGTGTGTGTGTGTGTGTTTATCTCCCGTGATTTGGTTTCTTAGCAGTGTTCCAGTGGAGATGTTTGATCTTCTGAGCTGCATATTCATTAACAGGGATTTTTATTCCCTCAGAAAGTTCTTGGTGAGAGCTTAAGGCAGACGCTGAAGTCACTTCTTATTTTATCTGCATTGTGCTGCCTGTTGGTCAACTGGCACCAAGGCTGTGTCTAATCCTTGGTGAGTGCCGCAGAAATGATCCCAGCAGCTCCTCCTAGACAGCTGGCACCTCTTACACTTCAGGACCTCTGGGGCCGCCAAGTGTCCTAGATGGCACCAGGGTTCTGCTTCAGCCCTCAGGCCTGGCCTGGGGACAAACCTGTGGAAAGGGCTATTTGAGAATTGTATGCTTTATTGTCAGCACGGTCACAGAACTCAAGTTAACCAAATAACTTGGCCTGCAGAAATACTGTAAAAAGCTCACATGGATTTAGACTTGAAGCAAAAAAAAAAAAAAAAAAAAAAAAAAAAAAAAAAAAAAAAAAAAAAAAAAAAAAAAAAAAAAAAAAAAAAAAAAAAAAAAAAAAAAAAAGAACAAAAAAACAAAAACAAAAACAAAAGACTATAATAAAAATCTGGCAAATCCATTATGAATACATAAAAAAATAGCTTTGATAATTTATAAAGCACTTCCAGAAAGTACTTCCTGATCCTAGGAGAGCTCTGGTATTTTTAATTCTATCTTCTCTTAGGCTCCATCGACCCCAGGGGCTGAATGTAGAAGCTCAGTCCCCTCCTGGGGCTGCAAAGAAAAAGTAGGAATGCTTGTTAGGTCTTCATACTATAGAAATGGAAAACTTGCAGGGTGGAAAAGAACATGACGTACAGCAGAGCTGCTGCTGGGTCTGTGAAATCAGCATTTATATTATCATCTCCATCTGCTATCAATTACCAAGAGACTATGAAAAAATTAATTGAAGGCACAAGGATTCTGCTCATCACCGTCCAGTTAGGCGAGAACTCAAAAAGAATGCCTGTGTGTGGCTAGGACAAGCAATGACTGCCATTTATGACTCCCTGATACACTAAAGTAAGTGTGTGTGTGTGTGTGTGTGTGTGTGTGTGTGTGTTTGAGTATATACTACTTTGAGTTATACCTCCCCAGCAACTGAGTTCTGGATTCCCATGAAAAATCATGAGAAGGGATTCTGCCACAGTCTGTATTCTTCCAGATACGTTCTGTCCAAGAGTGTCCTTTCCTGCATGGGTGCAGGTCCAGCAGAAACTCCTGAAGCAAAGTTGGGCACAGCAGCTGTCCTGATGGATCTCAAGATCCCCAAGCAGGGTGGGCATGATTAAGGCAAAAGGAACATAGAACTTGCCAGAATTTCTGGATTTAAGTTTTGGCTTTGCCTCTACAAGACACATGATCCAGGACAGGTCACTTAATTTCTTGGAGTTCTATTTGCTTATATATAAGTACAGGAAAATGATAATTGTCATACAGGCTTGTGGGAGAGTTAGTAGCAACGTGGATGGAATGTTTGCTCTGTACAGGGCCGGTTCAGAGTGCTTTGTACGTGTTCATTCGTTTAATCCTTACAGTAAGTCTATAAAGTGAATAAAGTTACTGTTCCCATTTTTGTGGAGGCATAGAAGCAAAGTTCCCCCAAAATCAAAGAATTAGGGCAGGTGAAGGCAGTCTCAGCCACTACCTGACACTTCCTGGAGTCAGTGTGAGGATCTGTAGGTACCTTGTTGAGGATCCTTTTAATTACTTTCCTTAAACAGAGATTTTTAGCTCAGGTCTGATGCCAGCTGAGTCAGGATTACAGACCAGAAACACACAGCCTGGAGGTGGTGCTCATGAGGAAGTGCACAGCAGGGAGGGGCCCTGGGCACCCTCCTGAAGCAGAAGAGGGCACCATCTTTGTTGAGGTACCTGTTGGATGCAGGCTCTGCTCCTTGGAATCCAGGAGCAAACCAATTTAGTAATCCCATTGGAGAAAAGAGAGGGCTGAGGGGACCCTTTATGTGTTCTTCTTGGTCAAAACAATCATTTTTTCTTTAATTCCCTGGATCCCAAACTTGTACTAAGAAGGAAATGTTTCCAGGTCCAAGGCTGTGGCTTTCCAGTGGATGGAGAGAGAAAGGAACAGCTCTCAGTTGCCAAGTCAGTGTGGGCTCTGCCATTGCACATGGCTGCCCTGGGGGAGTCTGGGCACCTTGCCTCCTGGTGCTGTGGGATGGTAAACTCCCATGGTTTTTGCTGTAACTCAGTGTGACCTAATACACACAGGCACATATACACTCACACAAAACAAAACGACAGAAACATGAGTTTCTTTGGGATATTACTTAACACAACTTGAGGAATACTAAATTCTTTTCAATTTTTAGGCTATTTTGTTCCATTCTGTTTCACTTAAAAATAGTATCCCCACTTATTGCATTGGCTTTGTTCTGCTGTCCCCAGGTTGAAACACCTGTGGAACACTGGGTTTTAAAACATAGCGATTTGGGGTTCACGACTCACCACACAGAGGCCATCTCATTCTGATAAAATCCAGAGGCACCTTGGCTGGGCATGTATATTTTGTGTGCTCTTCTAAGAGATGTCAAGGAAAAGACTCAGAAACAATCCCACCCAGACAGTGGGGGTGTACTGCCTGATGAGGGGTCTTCCAAATGCTGCTCAGTTACCTGTATATCTGCTGCTTACTCTATGTTGGGGCCTGGGGTGGCAGCTGTGGATAGAGGGCAAGTGAGATAATCAGCGCGTGATCCCTAGTATGGAAGAGGCCACACCAACAAAGGCTGGCAGTCACTGTAACCACACAGCATCTGTGGTCATCTGCCCATATCAGTGAGAATATGGCCCACCACCCCCAGTAAATGCCCCAGATTACAGATAGTACCTAGCCCTGTATGGACTGTTTTGTCCATGGGCTTCTATATACTCATGATACAGTTAAATTGATATGCGAGGCATACTAAAACAGAGACAATAATAGCTAAAAATGAAATGAACAATTATAGTAATGCATATTAATGAAAATTATTGAAGGTGTTCTGTCTCTCAAATATTGTTCTGTACTGAACCTTTTCTCTTTTTTCCTTATTGAGTCAAGAACATTCATCTCCTCACTTAAGGAAATTCTTTTTAGCTTCACTTTGGCATATCTGAATTGGTGACTTCATTACTCTTGAACTTAGGGTTCATTATAAATAAATTAAGGGTCACTTGAGTGCAAGCACAGTGGTTCCAATACTACAACAGTGGGTCTTCTAACTGCGAAGGATACTAAGTAACTAATGGGCAGGTAATGTATACAGCATGGACACATTGAACAGAGGGATGATTCTTGCATCCTTAGCAGGACAGAACAGAATGGCACAAGATTTTACCATGCTACTCAGAATAGCACACAATTTAAAACATGAATTTTCTTATTTCTGGACTTTTTAATGTAATGATTTCGGATCTCAGTTGAGGTCCATGGGTAACTGAAGCCAGAGATACTTGGAACTCTGGAATGAGAAAATGTGGTTAAGAGAAAACTACCATATATGGTTTCCTGAGAGTGCAGAGGAAAGAAAGGGAGATGTGAAGAGGATGACAGAGAACAAGAAATGGTTCATGAAATGAGTAGGAATTTACTGGGAAAAATAGTAAGGAGAGGGGAGGGAATAGAAACTGAAGATTCTGATAGCTCTAAAGTATCTTTCCATCTGCTATCTTTTTCCTAAAATTTGTGCACAAGGACCTTGCTTGCTCAGGATAAGATTTTTAGGGTCAGCTTGTTTAGGATAAGCCTCACTTAAGCTCCTCTGGGAGAGGCAGCACTCAAGCATGTTCCCAATCATACACCTCCCATGACTGAGTCTGAATCTTGTTTTTGAGGATAAAGCTTGGCAGGAGGAGAAGCAGAGAGTGAATATAACATCATTGAAAGCTTAACAGGAAAAGAGCATATACAATGTCACCAGAAAGCACCAAACTCAAATTCTGCTTTCTAATCTGATGAGGGTCTAGTCTCTGAGGGCCCCAGTGCATGGTGTATTGTTCTGTATAGATGTTCTGTGCATGCTTGTTGAATGAATAAATGAAGGGTTAGAGTTCAAAAGAACCTTGGGAATCATCTACATTGTTCTAAACAACTCATTTCATAGATGTGACCTTCATTTAAATAGCTGATAGGCCTAATTCTTGGTTGAGCCCTGTTCATCAACAGAATGACATATACTCTTTGAAATTTCTGACTGTGTTGAGAAGAATAAAGAATGCTATAAGGATAACCACCCAGAAATAAACATGTTAATGTTCTAATAGCTTTCTTCCCTGTTTTTTCTATTCATAAGCACATTTTTCATCTAGGATTGTATCATTTTCATCTAGGATTGTACATGTAGGATATATATATTCTACATGTATATCATACATATATATATATATATCCTACCTTTCATATTTCTGTATATTATGAAAATTCCTGTCATTAAGTAGTTTTATATTCTTTGTAAACATAACATTAATGCTAGCATAGTATTC